GGGGGAGGCCCTCGAGCAGCGGCCGCAGCGCCGGCGCGGCGATCCCCGTCGCCCGCGCGAGGCCCGCCGTCGTCACCAGCGAGCCGTCCTTGACGAGGTCGAGCAGGGTGGCCTGGGCCATCACTTCGCAAGACATTTCGGAATCCCTGCCAAAATCCCACGCGATTGCCCTCTTTTTTCTTAAATTAGAATGCTTCAGACCTATTGCGGTATGGGTCGATCTAAATATACTCCTAATGACACCTCTTGATGGGTTTGTTCTAGGGGAAACAACGACAAGTGGGGGGGGGGGGAGGGAATAGGAAAAGACATTATCCGTGTGCATCGAGACGCGCATGCGGGTTAAGAAAAGGAAGAACGAAAAAAAAAAAGAAGCCACCGCAGCCCCCCTGAGGCATTGGGACTCTTGACAGGACGTTTTAGTGGACGTTTAGTTAGCTGGCCCAGTGATGGGGAACAGTCGATAGATTAATAGTCTTATCGGGAATACTCGCGCTTGAGTATTCTCAGCGTGAAACCGTACTTTGTGAGGTGCCTTCGTTCACCAGCTTGGTGTAAAGTTTGACCATCATCTCCGCGAACATCCTTGCCTTTAGCGGTTTGTCCGAAACAGGGCCCGGGATCTGGATCGCCGCGGCCTCCGAGAGGAGCTTCACAAACTCCAAAGCCTTGTTGGGGCCCGAAAAAGCCTCGGAGAGGGCCGCATGCCAGCCCTTGGCGAAATCGCGAAGGATCGCGTGAATCCCCTCGGCGAAGGTGGTGCCGCTCGAGACGTCGAAGCTGACGTAGGCGTCGACAATCCGCAGCAGATGTTGGTTCGCGAGCAAAAGGCAGCTGTTGAGGGGGTCGGAATTGTCCTTTGCGTGATCGCCGATGAAGAGATTAATGCGCGTATCAAAGCTGAGGCCCTTGAACGCCTTTTCAAGCATGGCGGAAATGATTTGCTGGCGCTGCTCCACCGACGCGAACTCGCCCGTGCTGGCGAGGAAGGACTTGACAGGGCTTAGCGTGTTATTGATGGCATTCCAATTTCCGACCATAAAGCCGTTGAACATCATCAACATCGCGAAGTCGGCCGCGGCAGGATTACTCATATCAACCGGCCCACAAAGGGAGTCCGTGAAAATTTTAAACAACGAACCTAGATCAATAGGCATTCTGCAATTAGAATCAAAATTGGGGGTTAATTCACCTTTTATATTTAAGATTCTTATTTAGCAACTGTGACGTGGAGATATAAAAATGTGGTGTACACAAAAAAAGCAATTTGTATATTTCGTTAAACTTTGTAATAATCTAATAATGAACCAATTGTTAATAAAAGTGATAGAATTGATACCGCATTCCAACTCTCCAAGGCTATTATCAAAAGATTATTCGAATATTGGTGAAATAACCTCAATATAGGGTAGACATTGTATAAATTTAAAGAATAACAGTAGGAATTTTTTTATGAAATTCATTTTTATAAAAATTTCCAGGAAGTAACGATGTGTTCAGATAGATTCTATGTTAATAACTTATCCGAAAATGATCCATAGCGTTCAAAAGATGTGAAAAGGTGGTACATTTTTCCTTTTAAACATGAATATATATAATAGCAGTAAACTTGATTCATAAGAAATTATCCATATTATAAATAGTGAAAGGATTTTACACTTTAGAGAGTAAGCATTCCTCTTTTTTGTATATCAGAGTACGAGTTTATTGCATTTATATTTTGCCATTAATATAACTTCAAGAGTTAGTTTATATAGTTTTCTATATTTTTATCGTCAATGTTGGTATTGGTAATTATACTTGTGTTATGGTCGATGTGGCTCATTCATTTAACTTTACAGGTTTTGAAGCCATGGCATCCTAAGAGCGACTTTCCAAATCATTTACCAAGATGAGATCCAACAAACGAATTTGTCAAATTGTTAGGATATCATAAGGAAAGGGAAACAACTTGGCAGAAATAATTAATACAGGTTGCTCATCAAAAGCGTCTATAGACATGCAGTAAAAAACACCCATACGGCGTATCAACGACACTATAGTCTTATACGTCTCATTGCATTTACCACAAAAGCCAGGAAATGATGTTTTCTGGTTTCACAGACCAGACCAGAGTTGCGCGAATATCCTAATCTTGATCCAAAAGACTGTCACTTCCACATTATTCCGGCCCATGCTCCTGTGATTGCCAAATAGAACCTAACTCATACTATATAATCTTCAGTTTTTGTACTACACTTTAGAATATAGATTGTGTGGAAGTCCAGAAGATTCACCCTTGTTAGTTCATATTTTCCTGTGGCGTAAATTACACGCACTGAAATCAATCGTTAAATATCATTTTGAACACAAACTAAAGAACATCTTTGAGTTTGAAAGGGAAAGCAAAATACAATCCATAAGCAGCCAAAAAATAAATAGATGTTTAAGCTATTAAATCAACAATTAATGTTCATAATTCACATGTAATACTGCGTTATTTTAGCGTTGTCATCAGCTCTCTCTTACTCTTTATATATATATATATATATAGATAGATAAATATATTCTCATAGGTTGCTAGTCATCATCCAGGGTAGCGTCTTCCTCCGCAATTCGAACCTTGTCGTAGTCTGGTATACTAAACACCTCCTCATCGGGAAACTTCGCCAGGCAGTTTTCGACGATCGAGACCACTTTATTCAAGCGTATTTGGGTTTTGCGAAACACAGAGTCGTAGATAACCCTATAAACACCATTATCGATCATCTTTTCCGTCTCCTTGAGGAGGGGATAGCTATTTTCTGTGCGTGATTCATACCGTTTCAGGTTCTCATAGGTTGATCGTCGAAATCGGCAGATCCGAATATTACTTGAATCCCCGGAGAATGGATTATTTGCCGGCTCATTGTGGGAATAAAAGCTACTGCCATGATCGAGATACGCATACTTGGCGAGCCCGTACTGACGCTCCCCCGGCTTTCCCAGCGCGCACTCCGTCTTGGCGCTGCATCCCCCGTAGACAAAATTGTTATGCCCCCCCATCCCGCGATCGGTATTACCAATAATAAAATCAAAGATCAAACAATCCAACAGCTCGCCAATCGCGCGCAGGCGGGGGCGCGGGGTGTAACCGAAGGTCTCTTCCCCCGGGATGTAGTACTTATTCTCGAACCGGGCGTCGTATCGAAAAGGCAGGGCGAGA